AATATTCATTATCCCATGTACAGCCTAACAGCCAACACAGTAACTTCTGTAATATTTATCAAGCTGACTTATGATTGGATTTCAGGGGCTTATTCTATATGCTGACTTTTCCATTGTGTCAGGAACAAGAGCTATGCAATTTTCCCATTATCTGTATTGTCTTCTTGGCTTACTAACGCTGTCAAAATTTCCAAGGATAGGGTGTCATACATCAGAAATGGGGTGCATGTGATTCACTTGTGTAATGAATACAAGAAATTTAAACTGACCAGGAATTTCCAGACCTGTGGATGCTCCAGGCTATGATTTCACCCAAGTCAGTTCTGTTCACATCTAATAGTTTGGCATAACTGGTCAGGAATAAAGAGCTGAGAACTTGCGGCACAGCTTCTGCCTTTGTGTTTGGAATCAGAGAATAGTTTTTCTTCCTCTCCTTCTAACCACTGAGGAAATAAAAGGTGATTATCCCAATAATAATGCTATGACTATATAAATAAGACTGGAAAACTACCCATTCTATATGCAAAGCAATCGTAGAAATTATAAGCACAAAAAAAAAAAAAAAATAAAAAAAAAAAAAAAAAATCCCATAACTTTGAGTAAACAGCCTTGTATTTCGGAGCTGATTACACGTTCCTTAAACCCAACAGCAAACTGTCGCTGGCTCCCAGGAGGGAAGGAGCAGCCCTGCATCTGCAGTGGCGGGGTCGGTGCTGCCGGCAGCCGTGACCCGCTGCCAGTGACCTCTGCTCGGCCAGGCAAGGACGGCACTGCCCCGCTCTGCACGGGTACGGGCGCAGCCCAGACCTGGGAAACCGATGGATGATGCTCTACAAGACATGTAAGTGCACATTTGTCATGAGAACTTGAGCAAAACGACCGGTTTGAAAAGTCCGGATCTGCAGGAACAGGAGTGCGGAGCCAGGAGGGGCAGTGGTCTGACGTGAGTGGCCGGCCAGTTGCTGCCTTCCCATTATTTTCTCCTTCTTAGAGTCTGTTTTTATAAATGATTCGCTAAAACTTGCTGAAGGGAGCTTAGTGTGTAATCTGAGCTTTTAAGAAATATTTAATTCTATTTTCTTAAGCACAAAGAAAGACTTTGTCAAAGGAACTCCCTGTACTGTCTGGATTTAATTTGTTCCTAAAGAGATCCAGTCCTTTTCAGCTGTGGGAAAATGAGAACCCATATTGTGATGTAACAATTAACAGATAAAACAAGAAAATGCTACATGCTGATGCTGCCAGGACAAGGGTAATAGTTAGTAAATCAAAAAAATTCACTCAAATAAACAAATCAGCCAGTTTATCAGGGAGGAAGCAGGAATGTCTTTTGGAATTAGCTAACCAGGAAATACATCTGCTCCCCGTTAGACACTGGGAAATAAAAATTGGTGGACATGTCACTTAGTTTAGCCACTAAATTAAGAGATAGAAATCTGAACTGAATCACAGAGATCCGGAAACAAGCCGGGCTCTGTCGGTGCCGCACGCCTGCCATCGGCAGGAAGCGAAGGCTCCGCGCAGCGCCGTTCGCTCTGGGAGCCGTTTGAAAATCAGCGTGAGGAATTCCGCCAAGAGCGCGACGCTTTGGTCATGCCGTTTGCGTAGGGCTCATCGCTGTCACCAGTACCGAGCGTGTGTCCTCCCTGTCCCTCGGTGCTCTTTGACTGTCATGGGTCACACCGTGGCAGGGCATTCCATGGCCCAGCTCTGGCCCAGCGTGTGCTTCCCAGGGACGTGTCCCACGTGCGGAGGGGTGTCCCTCTGCCCCCTCTGCCGTGGCCGTCCCCGAGGACCTGCCTTTCCCCTGCAAACCTAAGGATGACAGGGCTGCAGAAGTCTGGCATGCCACGGGCATGAGGAGGAGATATATTTAACCCTTGATGCTTGTATCGTTTTCTGAGTCTACAGGACAAAAATATCTCCAGGCAATGTGGCACTGTACACCACAACATTCCTGAATGATTGATTTTCACTTCTATTTCACTCACAGTGCTTGGAAACACTGTCTGATAAAAAACATTTAAGTTTTATATTAGAGATTTCAATCTATACCACATTAAGATGGCCAGGTTTTCAATTCTGTGCTTTAGATTCTGGTAGAGATTCCAGGGAAACTTGTTAGCACTGAATTCACAACGGTATAAAATGGTCATAAAAACAAATCCTCAGCATCCCATACTACTGCTGCTTCTTAGTACCAGGCAACACCTCTTGCTGTAATATTTTAACATACGTAGGGAATGATCTTAAAAATAGATGATGAAAGGACCTATAAAATTACAATTTCCTTTCCACAAGGTTCCTGTTTCTGTTACTGCAATACATTGCCAAAAATCACTCTGATACAGGAATGACGAAGGATGCCATCTGCAATAATAATAATAATAATAATAATAATAATAATAATAATAATAATAATTATTATTATTATTATTATTATTATTATTATTATTCTTTTTAAATCTATTTTCATGCTGTTCAGAAGATCCAGATTCCTGAGAGTAAATGGAATAAACGCAGGATGTTTATACTCTATTAATTTTCCCAAGGACATGCACAATAAATGTCACAACATTTGACAATACTAAAAATATTTCATTGAGATTTTTCCCCATTTTTCCCTTGCTGGAGATAAAGAAGCTGCTTTTATTTATAGTATGGAGGTAGAGGCCAACATTTTCAAGAATAAATGTGGGGATGCAGGTGTCTCCTTTGTTAATGGAGGTGCATATGATCATGTAGGTCGCCGCCATTCTAGCGGTGCTTGCCAGGAAGGTCTCTGAAGTGAGCTACTCTGAGCATGACACAGAAAAGGCAGGGGTGTGAGATGTGGCGCTGGGGTGGGGCGCTGCTATCTTTGGAGAGTTGTGCCAGGCTAGAAACTCCACCCTGGCAGGGAAGGCCAGGCACCGAAAAAAAGGCAAGCATATCAGAGAAATGACCCAGAAGAGGCTTCAGGACTGTGTGGCTAACCCTGCCAGCCCAAATGCTGCCTCAGGACATCCTAGAAATACGCCCCAGTATGCCCCAAGCACATCTCTGGGGTTGTGCTGGGTGTGACACTTCCTCCGCGAGACCATGAAGTGGCAGCACTTGCAAACTTCTAGCAAACTCTTTTGTGTTTTGTTTGTTTGTTTGGTTGGTTTTGGTTTTTTTTAACTCCCGAGCTAGCTGGAGCTGTCTCTCATAAGAGAGTGTACAGCATGTAACCAAGTGCAAAGTCAGGCCCTCACTAAATCCTTTCTTATTTCCCACTTGGCAGCTCGGGCAGCTTCAGAATTCCTGGCCTGTCAGTCAGGACGCGCCGACGTCCAGCTTTGGTGCCGCAAGGTTCCCAAGAGGCCACACCACTCAAAGCAAGGGGCCGGATGCTTTATTCTCTCTGTTTCACCAGTCCAGGTGTATTGGTGTAGCTTTTCCATGTGCTTGGGTTAAGATGGCACAGAGACAAAGCTGGGCAAACCTGTCAGGGTCTTGTGGACTAGCAGTCACCCACACAATGGTCGTGTTTCCCAGCTAAGGGTCCGTCTCGGTGCTCGGGGACTTGCTACTTAAGAGAAGCAAAGTGTTTTAGTGCTTGTGTGAGGCAGCTGTGTGCTTGAAGTGTTTTATGTGCCGGTCTGGAGGCAGCTTTCCTTACTGTGATTTTAATCTCTTCAGGAGATTTCTGTCCCTGTTAAACATTTTCTTCATGGTTTCAACACAAATCGTAATTACAAATCACCCCGTGCCTTTGCCCTTTCCAATAGTATAACTCTGCCCTTTCCAATACATTATAGAAATACCAGATTTTGCAGTAAAAAACCCAAACAACCAAACTGCAGTAATAAATAATCTCTTTATCACAATTTGGGAAGCTAAGGTTCAGCTTCGCTGCTCTGCAGCATTTATACCTAGGAAGGCATATTGTCCTCCATACCTCGCTGGGTAGTTAAATGCTGATGAGATTTTTTGCAAATGGGAGATTTAAAATGCACGGATTTCATTGTACCTCTCCCCTCACCAAGTTAATCTATCACAATTAATGAGATGTTTCACTGCAAGTCCTTCTCCGAGGGAAGCTGTCCCTGCTCCTCGGACCTGAACACCTGGCTGGCAGATTTGCCTTTACCCGTCGTAGCTGCATTTAAACAAACGTGTCCGGTGCTGTGGCACAAGGAAAACAGAGATGGCATTCGGATATTATGAAAACGTAGATGTGGTATTTTGAACAGTTCAATTACTTGTGGAAAACTACGGTGTTGCTAATTATGCCTGAATCGTCCCAAACCTGGCAGCTGTGCCAGCGCAGATTCCCCCGTCTGCGCTGCAGGGCCGCGGGCTGGATGCAGACGGATGCGGCCGCTCTACGGGAACGAGTTTCACCCCTCGAGGCTGTCGGGGCCGCCGCACGGCGCGGACAGCCCGAGGGCACCCCCGGTGCC